TGTCATTTAACACTTGCATTAAGTTGATAGATTAGAGAACAAATCTTTAATTACTCAAGTGACATTTTCACGTTGAATAAAAATACTGGATACATGATTAAAACTCCGAGTAGCTCAGCAGGGACAAAGCTCAGTAGAGCTTTAAATAGAAAAAAGAAAACACACGGCCCATCACTTTCAAATCACAGACCGGAGGCCTCAAGACTTTTTTTTTTTTTAACCTTTTCTGGAAAACTTAGGAGGTATTGATTGAATTCCTAAATGCTGACATTAATAACTGTAGTCCTGCCAATTTGAAGGCCTCCCAAAGTCGCTAGATTTTTATGGAGTCCAGTTACATTCAGGAAAATAATAAAATATTTATCAGGCTTATCTTGGTGCTACATGGCAGATACTTTATAGTATAGCATACTCTGGCCTCCACACTCATACACCAAACACACAAACATATACACATATATACATACATATACACATGCACACGTATACACACATGCATACATGTACACATACATATAACACTATATGTATACACATATACAGATATACATACATACACACATACACATATACATGTACATACACATATAGCCACAGATACACACATACTACAGTCACAGGCATTCACATATATATACACACACACAATACACATACACACAGATAGACATGTGCACACATATGTGTGCATGGACACACATACATATTTGACTAAAAACTAAGTAAAGTGTGTACCTTGAGATTCGGTAAAGGAAATTTATCTATTACTGTAGGTCTTGAGGCATGAGTAGTTTCCCTTTTGCTGGCATTTTATTAGGAACTTTCTTACAAAATTGAGTGCTGAGGACAGGGGGTCAATTGAGTACCAGAGGAAGTTAATGAACACAGAGTAACGCAGCCAGATTTAAGCCATTTCTCTCTTCACAGATGAAAATAGCAGCATGGGAGAAAATTCAGTTAGATGGATTTTCATGTGTAGCATTAATAATATTCACTCAATTTCATTTACAATTGGCTATAATATCTGAAGCCCCCTTGCTCCCTTTTTAGATTAAAACAAGACAGAGCAGTAGATGACAGGAACACCTATGGTCTGAGCTGAGGGCTCCAGGGAAGTGCTGACATTAGAGAAAATGTTAAAACGTTGATATATCTGACCTTAAAAAGAACTTGACAGTACGTTGTTTCTCTTAAGGATTATGTAACACAGAGACTGTTCTTCACATCACAGCCCAGCCCAGTCTGGACTGTTTCTGTGCCTATCCTTGGAGCTCTGGGTATCTGACCTCTTGGCACAGGAATCCTGTCCTTTCTCATCTTTCTCCCACCAGGAGTGGTGAGTGAGCGTTCCCTCTGCCTCAATGAGTCCTTTATGTGCTCAAATACCACCGTTCTGAGGGCTCCGCTTTCCCTCCACAATATGAAACAAAGCTCCTTTCTCTACCTTCATCGATATCACGTTTAACCATGAAGTATTTGCTGAACATTGGGCTAGTAAGTAAATGTGTGGCCATTTCACCAGATACTATTATTCTATCTGTCTTGTCTATCTATCTATCTATCTATCTATCTATCTATCTATCTATCTATCTATCTATCTATCATCTGTCTATCAATCTATCATCTATCTATCATCTATCTATCTATCTATCTATCTATCTATCTATCATCTATCTATCTATCTATCATCTGTCTATCAATCTATCATCTATCTATCTATCATCTATCTACCTATCTATCTATCTATCTATCTATCTATATTTGGTTTTTGAAGACAGAGTTTCACTGTGTAGTCCTGGCTATCCTAGAACTCACTCTGGAGACCAGGGTTGTCGATCTCAAACCCACAGTGATCTACCTGCCTCTGCCTCCCTGGTGCTAGGATTAAAGTTTGTGCCACCACTGCCTCATCTATTATCATCTTTTTAGAAACTAGCATTTTCGTTTTTCTAAGGTCAGTTTGCACGAGCAGCGCGGCATCCTCTCAAATGGAAAAGGTGAGTCTTCTTTCTTCTGCGCTACGACATGTGCACGCATCATGCAATGACAGAGATTCACTAGAGAACACGCTAACGGGAGACTTTCCTTAGGACCTTTTTATCTGTAGTTCTTTATGATGTGGGAGTTCATCGTGTCTCAACCTTTAACATGAGAATTCTTGAGTATCACCTAGCTTATATGCAACATCCCATAATGTAGATATAACCTTGTTAAAACATTGAGAGACTTCCTTTGGTATCTGAGTGAAACTAGTAAGAAAATCTATGACTGGGCAGATAAAATATTCTGTTGCTAGGTCAAATGGCAGGGCAAGCTACTCACTGTATAGGAATCTGTAGACAAAAGTGTCTACTTTTGTGTCCCATGCCCCACAGTGTGTACTTCCTGACTCAGTTTACACATATTGAGCCAACCTTAACTTCTGGTCTGCAGAGGATGTGAGCACAATAGGTGGCCAATTGCCAAAGTACTGACATACAGATCTTAACTCCTCCCAGACTTAGACTCCCTCCCAAGTCCTATCCCAGCTGGGTCTCAGCTGGCTCCTTTGTAGAAGCTGATGGTTTTGCAGAGGCCATGGCACCTTGTCTTCTGCCCCCTGATCTCATGTTCACCAGAAGGGAACAAAGCAATCTTCCAGTTCGTGCTTTCCATGCCCAAGAGAACTCCTCCCTTATACCAAGCCAGTTAGTCCTTGCTTATACCAGTTTATTCATTTGCAAATAGCATTTGCTTCAATACCTGCATATCCAAATGTCTGCTCTTGAGTGTCCCTACAGAGGCAGCGTAGGCATGAGAGCCACAGTTCCAGTGTTACTACCTTTCTTGGCACTCGAGCTTTGGAATTGTAAGGATTCCTTAGAATGCTCTTAATTCTACTGGACACCCTTTGGATTTTCTAGCCACAGAAAGGAAGGAGTGGCGGGCAGACAGGGATCTATTCATTTGGGAAAATCAGGACAGTTTACTCTTATGTTTCTCTCAATTATAAATGCTTACTTTAGGGTCATTTAAACCGATTCAACCTTTTGTGTATATATTGTATATATTTAAAAGATGTGAGAAAACTACTCTTCTGGGCTCTGTGATCTGCAGTGTGTGAGTATTAGAAACAACGGAAAGCACGTAGATTCGAGGAAGATGAATGATTCTCTAGGTGAGGCTCACCCTGACACTCTAGAAGGGGAGGAGGCACACTTATGTCCCAGGCTGCTGTGCATCCCACAGCTTTGCTTTTCAGTATCCCAGGGTCACAGTCCTGGGTCTCAAATCCTTAAAAAAAAATCAGCTCTTACTGTAGCTTTTGCTTCATTCAGGTGGCCAAATATAAAGAGTATGTGTGCACACATACACACACATGCATACATAAACAAACACACACACAAATGCACATACACACATTTCTTTCACAATTATCAAATAAGTATCATTATTTACTTAAAAAAAACTTTTTATTGGTTCTTTGTGAATTTCACACCATGTACCCCAATCCCACTCATCTCCCCCTCCCCTCGTACCCCCCCTCCATCTTTGCAACCTCCCCTCCAGAAGAAAAAAAAAATCTCACTGTTAAAGCTGTAGTGTGACACAGTGTGTCCCACAGTCTACCCTTTTGTCCACACTTCTTTGCTTGCAAATGTTCCCTGCAGTGAGCCATTGGTCTGGTACGAGGCCTCTGGCTTCTGCTACTCAATACTGTTCAGTACTGGAACGTCACTGTGATTCCTCTAGGATATCCTGTTATTGCACTGTGTCATGGAGATCCTATAGTTTTGGATCTGAAGAACCTGCCCTTTCATGAACTTCAGTAAGTTTATCGATGGGGTCCAGTTCATAGCACTAGATCTGGTCCTGAGAGGTATCTGAGCAAGTCAGCCCACGGGCTCTCCTCCTCTCATCCCCTCGGGCAACTCACCAGCCACACTCTCAATCAGGGCCAGCTATACCCTGCTGCCCAGGAGAGGCCGAGAGGCAGGGCTGGCTCTCCTGTGCTCACACCCTCCTGGATGGCTCACCAGCAACTCTCACATCCAGGGCCCTCTCTACAGTCCTGCAGAGAGGCAGGGCCAGGTCTCCCTCTATGATGACCTCAGTGACACCTCTCCTGCCTGCCGTAGGTGGCAAAGGATGAATCAGGGGACATCTTTCCCTCCCCCATATCACCATGAGTCAGTCAAGTGGCAGGGTCAGCTCTACACACCCATGCCCTCAGGGATGGATCTCCTGTGCACCCATACCCTCAGGGTCAGCACTACTGTGTTGCCCAAGAGAGGTGCAGGGCCTGCTCTCTGGAGTGCTGCAGCTGACTAGGGGTTGGGAACATCTTTCCTGCTCTCACACGACCAGCTCTCCCATAATGCCCAGGTAAGGGGTGGGGCCAATTCTACACAGCCTTCAGACATCAACATGTCCCTGGGTGCCAGGCTAGACTAGTCCTTTGATGGTAACAGACCTCTGCTGCTGCAGGGCCACGAACCCAGATGTGGTACCTGGTGGCAGCACAGTCCAGGACCCTGTCATGGTGCCAGGAGGTATCACTGGCTACTTATAGCAGGCTGTTTCTCACTACCCTCAAGTCTGCAGTTCTGCCTTTCCTCACTGTGCTTACGTCCTTCTGTTTCTCTTTCTCTTCCAATTCTCCACCACTTTCTTGCTTTCCTTAGTGGTGACCAGATCTGTGAGTATCTGGGGTCATCTCAGGAGTGGTCTCAGAAGTGCTATACCCTGCTTGTGCATTATAGCATGGGGCAGGGGTCATCTAGGGGATGGTTGGCAGGCCTGCTCAGCACTGGTCTGGTGGTCCTCTCAGGGGAGGCCTTATCTGGGCTCCAGAGTGCCAGTTTGGTGGTCTCAGTGTCCCCATATGATGGTTGTCTGTCTCAGGCTTGTTCCCGCCCCAGGCAGGTTCTTCTAGTCTCCTGCTTGCCCACTACCCTGGGAGCTCAGACCAGCCTTTAAGATGCCAGGCTGTCGGTGGTTGTCTCAGGCTTACTTTTTTCAGAAAATGACTACTAATCATTCAGGTGTTCACCGGCCAGAACACTGAACGCGGACATAGCCTCTCTCTTCTCTGCCACCTACTGACGTACATGTGACACAGCATCCACACCTGCAAGGCCTCCAGAGGCCGGATTGTTTACTTTTTAATTTCTGTGCTTGGTTACAGCGACCCTGTCCATTCCCTTCATTTGTTTCAACCCACACTGTACACACCGGAGTGCATTTGCCATGAATAGTTTGCTTCCCAAACATGATGCTTTCATGTAGTATACTTCCTTTTACATTTTATTTTTCTTTATATCTGTCAACATTTATGTGTTAGTTGTTGAGCAATGCATGTTAGATTACTTGAATTGTTAAACGTGTGGCAGAGGGGCTGGAGAGGTGGCTCAGAAGAGCACTGGCTGTTCTTCCAGAGGATGGGGCTTTAGGTCCATTCACCCATGTGGCAGCTCACCATTTTCTCTAGTTCCAGGGGGTCCATTGCTCTCTTGCTTCTGCAGGTGCTGCACACACACATAGTGTATAGACTAAACACCATACACATAAAATAGAGAAAAAATTAATTTAAAATTATTTTTAGGTGAACACAGTAGTGCTGACCCTGAGGGTAGGGGTGCACAGGAGATCCATCCCTGAGGGCATGGGTGTGTAGAGCTGACCCTGCCACTTGACTGATTCATGGTGATATGGGAGAGGGAAAATAAAAAATTATCTTGCAGCAGAATAGCTCTATATGAGGGTAGATGCTTTTGTTAACTATGATACCCACCACTTCTAAGAGTGTCTGCTAGGTGGAAGACGGTAAATATTTATCTAACAAATAAACAATAAATTATGATTTCACCCATTTGGTTAGTATTATCTGATAAAGTATTGATGTTTTATTGGTGCTTTCCCATGTGACTTTCAATGTTTTGTTTTTTAGCTTTTAGTTTACCTTAAATCTCCTAACCAAAGGTCCCTGTATTTTGTAGTTATATTACTCACAACAAAACCAGACTAAATAATGCATTCATTTACTTACTATATTCTCTTGCCATGTTTTTCCCTCTCTTTAAGTCAAAGCCGTCTGTGATGGTTTGTATATGCTCATCCCAGGGAGTGGCACTATTAGGAGGTGTGGCCCTGTTGGAGTAGGTGTGTCACTGTGGGTGTGGGCTTTAAGTCCCTCATCCTAGCTGCCTGGAAGTCAGTATTCTGCTAGCAGCCTTCAGATGAAGATATAGAACTCTCAGCTCTGCCTGTAGCATGCCTGCCTGGATGCTGCCCTGCTCCCACTGTGACGATAATGGACTGAATCTCTGAACCTGTAAGCCAGCCCTAATTAAATGTCCTTTATAAGACTTGCCTTGGTCATGGTGTCTGTTCAAAGCAGTAAAACCCTAACTAAGACACCGTCTCCAAGGAAGATTTATCATCACCAAGATTGCTCACTAAATACAACATTCCAAAGGAAAAGATTCAAAAAGTATTGTGAGTAACTGGAAATATTTTGGGAAATAATCACTTTCTAAACCATAAAGCCGTGTCTTGTACATTTGTTAAAGTCAACAAGCATTCTGAGGAGTTGACATCTGTCAGGTTATGTGCACATATAAACATATATGCACACTGCATTTTCCATAAGGGACTTGTCTACCTCTGGAAGTTCATCCATGCCTGGACTGTGGGTTCTTACGTTCAAGGAAATACACCTTTCAAGGAGCTCTTATCAAATGCTAAATGTTTGAATCCAACAATTAGACTCACCCTCCACCATGAGAAAATGCCTTACACTAAAACAAAAGTCGAGGCTGGGCATGGCGGTGCACATCATTAATTCTGAACACTTGAGAGGCAGAGGCAGGTGGAACTCGGTGAGTTCAGAGTCAGTCTGTTCTACACAGTGAGTTCCAGACAGGTCTCAGACAGAATAAAAGGAAAATGTTTAGTGACACAATAGTAGCAAATGTGTCATATTGCTTCATGTTCGTGTTTGAAATGTCTTAGTGTCTAAATATTTAACTAGTAGAAAATGCGAGTTCGGTCGTCCGCCCTGTAGCACTGTGATCAGGTTTGATTACATTTGAGGGGCTCATGGTGAGGGTTGCTTTCCTGGTAGAGAGCTGGATCAATTCAGAGGGATCTGGGGGGAGACTAGGAAAGAGCAGCAGGCAGAGACAAGCTCCTCCGTGTCTGGCTCTCAGTCTGTTTAGAACTAATATCCTTGGCCTCCGGGTAACACAGTATTTTCGTAGCCTGCCTCAACCATCGCTAGAATGTCGATATAAATTAGATTCCAGCAAGGCACAGATCTATACAATCCGCTCGAACCCAACAATAAAGAAACGTCACGAAATCTTTCATGTTCTTTGTTTACTATCATCATGGAATAAAGAAAAATAATTGGTTTTCATTTAGGTTTACAGAAATGCAGTCGAAAGCTGCAATGTTACAAGGAACTGAATTTTAAATTTAACAGTTAACAAAAGGTCTCATGGGTTCTCTGTGATTCATTTCAATACAAGTAATTCTCTAGTGCGCTGTTTGGATATTAGGTGTAAATACCCAGTGTGAAAGGCAGATATACTTTATCTTTTCCATGTTTCTGGTACATTCTGGGGAGGACCTAGCAGATCGGAAGAGTAGGTTCTTGGTCCCTCTATTCTATCAATGCAAGCTATGAACCTACAGCCTGCAAATAATTACCAGTGTGGGTTGGGGTAGGCAGAGAGGAAGGGAGGGTTGGAATGGTCCTCTGCAGAGAGAGAGACAGTTGTGTCAGAGAACACGCCCTGACTGTGGCTCCTCTTCCTGTCTTCCTTCCTCTCTTAGACTGGCAAGCCTTCTGAGCATCTGGGTCACTCAGCACGTCCTTTGGCCATGCTAAGATCACATTTGCCCATCTTATTCTTGTTCTGAATCTGATCTGGTGACTGAATGAAATAATTGTCCATTGCACAGCGTCTTGTAGTGCTCCTTCTGTGTGCCTAGCCTGTGGTAGGCAGTCAGTGGCGAGGAGAATGGATAAAGGCCCGGCCATTGGAGCTTATAGCCTCCAGCTGAATGCGTGAGAGAGCCTTGCAGGAGACACAGTGAGAGAACCATGGATTACTTTTCCTGCTGAGCATACCTGGGCTGATGACATCAGGGAGTGACAGTGGGCATCTTTGCTCTCATTCGTAGAACGGATTCACTTTGGATGGAGGAGCTGTCCAAAAGCCACACAGATATTTTGAAACATTGAGATCAAAGGGAGAGGAAGCTGGAAGCTTCAAAAGGTTGAAACTTGACTGTTTGACTTCCTTCATCATGAAGGACTCTGGGATACTCGGTGGTGTAACAAAGAAGGGGGACCCATGTTTACTGAGCTCTGCGGTGTCTGCCCATCTGTCTGTCTGTTCTCTGGGGGCAGGGGGAGGAAAAGAGAAACTTGCTTTTGTATTAGGATGAGAGGAAGTGAGCATTACTGTTGCTGATCAGGACTCTTACTTCCTGCGCCCCCGACCTGCTACTTCTACAGGTTTTTGTCTGATAATACGAAAGGATTGTTTGGGCCACGGTGATCAGTAGTGTCAAGGAAGGAATTAAGGTTTAGTAAGAAAATCAGGATGGATAAATTCACAGTGCCAGGCAGCATATGCTCTTAACCCAGGTGCACACAGAGCTGAGATCAGACCTCAGAGCAGAAGAAAGGCACAGGAGGAGCATAAGGGGAGGGCACAGTGGGAAGACGCTGCGCTTAATGTCAAACACGACAACCTTTCTGTTTTCCTAGGAAAATCTTACTTGAATTAGTAAACAGAATTTAATGAAAAAAAAACCAACTTCCGGTAATCCTGTCAACTAGAGAATACCAGTGCTAATATTTGGGTATATTTTCATATGTACATGTACTTATGAAACAATAATCTCTGTGCATATTCATTATCTTCATGATTTTTGCATCTTCAAGTCATCAAAATAATTATAAGTCTATCCTACTGGCTACAGGATGTCACATTGTACCTTGACATGAATGGTGCCCACTCCTGTACCATGATACAGAGAGTGCCTGACTCGTGAAGATTGACTTTTATGTATTTGACTTTACAACAATTAAAAAAGGAGGCATTCAGTAGCAACAGCACTTTAGCTGTTGAAATTTGATCTTTTTTTGGGGGCTAGCAATATTCTCTTGATACTCTCTCAGTGATGGGGCCACAGCAGCAGGCAGAGGCCCCGCACAAGTAGGCCTGTGATCACAAGAAAAGCAACAGTTACGGAGTCCTGATATTGCTCTGTGGTGTTCAGTAGCCTTGAGTTCTGGAGTCCACGTTTATCTTGCTATGTTTTGTTGAGTTGCCATACACCCATTAGCCAGGAAACTCTGCTGTCTCGTTGGAGATAGATATGAAGTGTTTAGCATCCTGCCTTTCCCTTGGTACCTGGGCCACTGTGTGAATGTCTTTGCTCAGAAATCTTTCCCATAACCAGAAGCAGAATAGCACATGCTACATTCCCGTGGCTTGAAGTTGCAAGTGCTGAGTCTGGCAGTGCTCACTCTTCATCTCCGAAGTTAACCATCGTAAGCCACCGCTGCTGGCTTCCCTATTCCAGCCTCAGTGCTGAAGGACTTAAACCATGAGTCAGGCAGATATGCATGGCAGAGTCACTAGCTCTTTCTGATTTCTGCTTGGCTTACAGGAGATCTAGGTTACTGATCTGATAGTCCAGATCTTAGAGTGAACACTCCCCTCTGCTGCCCCCCAACATGGGTTCATTCTTCTTTCTTGCAACCAGCAGATCCATATCGACATTGTATCTTTCTAGCACATATTCAGATGACCTGAACCCATTCGTTAGCATGATTGTTTAACCCAGACTGTCCTATGCCCTCTTCTAGTTGTGATGGGTGGCATGCAGGCCTCCAGGCATGTTTGTTGATAATGACAATGACAGAGGCAAGGACACCAAGGCACCTTCACCACGTATTCCTCTGTCAGGCACATTAGCCAGTGGCTTCTAAGTGGCAAGGCTATTAAAAGTCCTATGTGGTGGTTAATTTTATCACTTCCATTTTTACATGTTGCAGAAGAGGTAAGACACTGGCTCACTGTCACTCCAATGAGCTGTGGTGGCTAAGCCAGTTACCAGTCTCAGTTTCCTG